TTCTGGATGCGTCTCCGCGGTATGCTGGTGGATCGGCGCCTCCGCAGAGAAGAGCTCCTGGCTCCAGCAGGTGCAGAGGTACGGGATGCGCAAGCTGCTGTCGAACGCCCAGTCTTAGAGCGCCACTCCCAGAAGTTCCAAGGGTTAGGATCCGCCTTCAATAGGTATAGTTCATGAGCAAGCACGTCATCGATGTCCGGCTTCACCTCCTGGGGGCGCGCGCGATCCTCGGAGCGGCTGCGAAGAGGGGAGTCGCGGCGTGCACGACGGAGTGCACGATCCAAGTCACTCCGAAGATCCTCGCCACTACGAGTAGTCATCGCGCGCGAGGTCGAGTGAGTACGTCCGCGCCGAGCTAAGCTCACTGCATAAATGGTAGGCGGAGAAAACTCACGGCAACAGGGAGATTCCTGGGGAACGGCCGAGAATACTATCTCCTACTTGTGTTTGGCCATAATGGCTACGGACAATCGTCAGGGAATCGCAACGCCTTCGACCCGATTATGGCACAGGAATTCTGGGCCCAAGCCTTTCTCACACTTCCTTGTGAGCCTCCGTCCCTGGTCGCGACTCCCTGGAAACAGCAGTAGTGACATCCCAGGAGCCCGCGCGACTACCAAACCCGATAGGAACCAGAAAAAAGGCAGTCATTAGCAAAGCCGAAATCGGAGGAACCACCGAAAACAAGCTGACAGGAACCGGCCGAGGAACCAGGGCCCCAGAAAAGCGAGATCCAAGGGACACGAATGAAACGAATCAAACGAGGCAGAGGCGGAGGAGGAGGACTGTGAAGATGATACACATGTTTTCGCACAGGCCTTCCAGCTTGGTCGACTCGGTCGCCGAGCAGGCTGCGTTTCAGGCGCTCAGGCAGCGCCGCGGCGAAAAATCTCGGCGATCGGCGCTCCCTCAAACAGGGGGATTCCTGGGGAATGGCCGAGAATATTATTTCCTACTTGTGTTTGGCCACAATGGTCACGGAAAACCGTCGGGGAATCGATGTGCCTTCGACCCGATTATGGCACAGTTCTTCTGGTCCCACGTCTCTCTCGCACTTCCCCGTGCACCTCCGTCCCTTGTCACGACGCCCTGGAACCAGCAGTAGTGAAATCCCAGGAGCCCCCGCGACTACCAAACCCGATAGGAACCAGAAAAAAATGCAGTTACTAGCAAAGCCGAGATCGGAGGAACCTCCGAAGGCAGGCTAGCAGGGACTGGCCAAGGAACCAGGGCCCCAGAAAAGAAAGATCTCAGGGATACGAACGAAACGAATCAAACGAGGCAGAGGCGGAGGAGGAGGATTGTGTAGAGAACGCACCTGTTTTCGCACAGACCTTCGAACCTGGTCGACTCGGTCGCAGAGCAGGCTGCGGTGCTCAGGCGCTCAGGCAGCGCCGAAGCGAGAAATCTCGGCAATCGGTGCTCCCTCAAACAGGGAGATTCCTGGGGAATGGCCGAGAATATTATCTCCTACTTTTGTTGGGCCACAATGGCTACGGAAAACCGTCAGGGAATCGATGTGCTTTCGACCCGATTTTGGCGCAGTTCTTCTGGGCCCAAACCTCTCTCACACTTCCTTGTGAACCTCCGTCCCTTCTCGCGGCCCCCTGGAACCAACAGTAGTGAAATCCCAGGAGCCCGCGCGACTACCAAACCCGATGGGAACCAGAAAAAAAGGCAGTCACTCGCAAAGCCGAGATCGGAGGAACCACCGAAGGCAAGCTCACAGGAACCGGCCGAGGAACCAGGGCCCCAGAAAAGCGAGATCCCAGGGACACGAATGAAACGAATCAAACGAGGCAGAGGCGGAGGAGGAGGATTGTGAAGAGGACAACCAGGTTTTCGCACAGGCCTTCCAGCCTGGTCGACTCAGTCGGAGAGCAGGCTGCGGTGCTCAGGCGCTCAGACGGCGCCGCAGTGAGAGATCTCGGCCATCGGTGCTCTCTCAAACGTGTGGAAAGAGTCTGGGTCGACAGGCGGCGATACCACCCCTTACTCATTGAGCGCTGTATCACAAGGTACTCCCACCAATGAACCAACACTGAGTAGAGTCACCAGCACCATCACCTGCCAGGGTAACGCGCATCATCACAGAGTATAGTAACCACAGACTATAGCAACCAGCACGAGAAAGCTCAAGCACGGGCCCTGCCAGGTTGCAATACAAATCCCTCCAGCGAGACGTTTCCTATACTACGACTCACCTGAAGCGCCACGGAAGCAGAGTAGAGGCACATCCACCATTGGATGCATACCGAAGCTCCAGCCATGCACACAGGAACCACCGACTCCATTGAGGCAACATCCAGTGCCCAGCCTCACTGTACCCAGAGATATTCTCGTATAGCAGCGTAAAATCCATAGTGGTATGTATTGACCTCACCAGCACTGGAGGACAGACTATAGACCTTTTGAGCCCACTGCTTGACACCCGAAGGAACCCAGCAAGCACCAATAATAACATATAATAACGGCGACCACCTCGGGCCGGCCCCCTCGCCCTGGCTTGAGTCGTTCGGGCCCCTCCCTGTGTGAGTCGTTCGGGCCTCTCGCCGAACAACTCCGACAACGAGGAGGGGCCCGAACGCTTCATGCCAGGATGGGGGAAATGAACGACTCTCAACAAGAGGAGGGCGCCGAACAAATCTACTGAGCCCAAGTGGCGCCCACGCCCAAGGATACAACTGCCTGAGCTCCCAAGTAGCGATATCACTCATTACAGATTGAGCGGTGTATCCAAGGGTAATCTCACCAATGAACCATTACTGAGTACAGTAGCCAGCACCCTCACCAGAACAGGGTACCCAGCACCATCACAGAGTACATTAACCAGCACCAGAGAACCAAAGTACGGGCTTCAGCCGAGTGGAATACAAGTTTCACCAGCAAGATGTTTCCTATAGTAGAGCCCACCTGAAGCGTACGGGGTTCAGCTGAGTGGAGCACAAGTCCCACCGGCAAGCTGTTTCCTATAGTACAGCCCACCTGAGGCGCCACTGGAAATGAGTAGAGGCACATCCACCATTGGATAGATACCGAAGCCGTAGCCGTGCATACAGGAACCCCCGAACCCATTGAGGCAACATCTCGTTTCCAGCCTCACTATACCCAGAGATAGTGTCGCCAGTAACGAGTCTGCGTCGACGGGCTCCGCGCGGTACCTCATCGTCCCCAGGCTTTGCTCCACCATTCGGGAATCGGTTGCAACTCGCCCAAGAACTTCCGGTCGTCGGCGGATATCGCTCCGTCGCTGCCCGGCCAGCGTTTCTCTCCGAAAAAGACGGGGGTCAGCGGGCATTTGGCCTGGTGAATGCGGCAATGGCACTTGCACTTTCGCTTGCTCTTCTGCAGTGCTTTGCGCAGGTGGCGCACTCGTTCTTCCATGTCAGCGACGCACTCCTTGCACTCTAGCTTCATGCGATTGCTATTCTTGTGGTGATTAAATAGTTTTTGGTTGAACTTATGGGCCCCGAACCTGCAAGTGCACCTCTGGCACGTTTACGTCTCCAGGTCACACGGGTCGAATCCAAGGGCACGGCATGCTTTGCAGACCAGAGTTGTGCCCTGAGAAGACGCATGATGCTTGCGTTCAGACTTCGACCAGTACTTCAGCTCATACGCCGTTGTACATTTCCCGCGCAGCAGCTTCACCTGACAGTCCAGGCACACCAAGCGGGCCTTCTCCCGCCTCTTCGCAAGAGGCCCCCAAGATGCCCCCAAGAGGCCCCCAAGAGGCCCCAAGAGGCTCCCCCGAGGCACCCAAGACGCTCCTGGAAGCCCCTGGGGCCGCCAAGAGGCCCCCAAGACGCCCCAAACGGCCTCCAAGAGGCTCCCAAGAGGCCCGAAGAGGCTCCCCCAAGGCACCCAATACGCTCCTAGAAGCCCCTGGGGCCGCCAAGAGGCCCCCAAGACGCCCCAAAAGGGGACGAGGTGCCCGAACGCCTCACGCCACGAGGAGCCCGAACGACTCACACCAGGACGAGGGGCCCGAACGACTCACACCACGAAGAGCCCGAACGACTCACACCAGAAGGAGGGGCCCGAACGACTCACACCAGGACGAGGCGCCCGAACGACTCACACCACGAGGAGCCCGAACGACTCACACCACGACGAGGGCCCCGAACGACTCACACCACGAGGAGCCCGAACGAGTCACACCAGGAGGAGGGGCCCGAACGACTCACACCAGGACGAGGGGCCCGAACAACTCACACCACGAGAAGCCCGAACGACTCACACCAGGACGAAGAGCCCGAACGACTCACACCACGAAGAGCCCGAACGACTCACACCAGGAAGAAGGGCCCGAACGACTCACACCAGGACGAGAAACCCCAAACGACTCAAACCACGAGGAGCGATTTCTCTCCCTCCTCCTCCGCCTCGTCCTTCTCCCGCTCCCCCCACAAGGAGGATGTACAAGGAGGCGGGGGGAAGGAGTAACAGGGGAGATATGCGGGGCCAAGCGGACACACGCCTGAAAAACACGACTGCCGGCATGCTTCGCAAGAGTTGCTGTTGTGAGATGGGCTGGTGGGGATACGCGAAGCGTAAAAAATATTCTCCCCCTTTGGCCCCCTGGGTGACGATCGGGCTGCTACCCGCCTGTTTTTCTGGGAAAGAGTCCCCGTGGCACAGGTGCTGGAAAAGGAGAAGGAGGAGGAGCAGGAGGAGAAGGGAGGAGGAGGAGGAGGAGGAGGAGGATTAGGAGGATGAGGAGGAGAAGGACGAGAAAGAGAGAGAGAGAGAGTATGAGAAGGAAAGGGGGAAAATGTGGTGGAGGTCGGCGAAGAGGACGCGGAGAATGCGAGGCAACCGTCGCGGCAAGAGGCTGAATTGCACTGCCACTCGGCTGGAGGATCGCCTGCCAGTACTCAGTGTGCGGGTTTGAAAAAGGGGGTGAGGTTGGCGACGCTGATATCACTGAGTTCTGCACACATTGAATGGGCACATCATGTTAGTAGACTGGTGTCCGTGCTTTCAGGGAGCGCGGGCGCCTGCTTGTTGAACGCCTTCCGCTCGTGCTCGAGCTGCTTCTTGAGCGCGAGCACCCTGTTCTGGCACTCCTCCTGCGGATTTCAAAACTGATGTACCCCCTTCTGTCACGCGTTCCGCCCTCCACCTCGCTACCTCTCGTCGACCTCCTCACCGTCGTCTTCCTCCCTCCTCCTCCTCCCGACCTCTTCCATTCCTTCTCCTTCTAAATTATTTGTTCCTATCGCACCCCGAGGCTGGTTTTCAGGGTGGGCCGGGCGTTTCGCCTTTGACTTCTTCACTACTTGTGACCCTGGGGCACAGATGGAGTGCGGGTTGTTTTCTAAATGTGGCTCTCGCCTCAGCGCCACGCGCATTCGTTTTGAAGGAACTTCACTGATTGGGGGCGGGACCTTTTCAGATTGTGGCTCTCGCCTGAGCGCCGCGCACACTCGTTGAACAAACATTTGCAAGAGCTTCACGGATTGAGGGCGGTTCCTTCTCAAAATGTGGCCCACGCGCTAGCGCCGCGCACACTCGTTTTCAAACTGTGCGAGAGCTTTACGGATTGAGGGCGGGCCTGCTTCAAAAAACGTGGCTCTTGCCTTACGCCGCGTACAGTCGTTTTGATATTGCAAAACATGTCACGGATTGAGGGCGGTTCCTTTTCACAATGTGGCTCTCGCCTTAGCGCCGCGCACAGTCGTTAGTACATGTTCTGCAAGGGTGTCCACGTGTTCTCATGATCAGCACGAACTCAGGATTACGAGGGTGCAACAATTACGTTGGTTCGCGGTGTTGCAGACCCATGAATGGCGTTCTGGTGCGATTCAAGACCGTCAAGACGCAACAGTCTGGTTGATCCGTGGCGTTGGAATCCCGAGAACAATGTTTTGGCATGCTTCAAGGTCTTCAAAAGGTTGCCTTCCGACGAGGCAGTCCCCGCAGTGGAAATGAACCGTTGCTGGGGCCTATGAAGAGAGAGCTTGGAGGGCGGGTTTCTTCCAACATCGTTGAGGGCTCTTGGGTTTACAGTGGTCCTCCTCCTCCTGCTGCTCCTCCTCCTCCTCCCTCCTCCTCCTCCTCCTCTTCCGCCTCCTCTTCCGCCTCCTCTTCCTCCTCCTCCTCCTCCTCCTCCTCCTCCTCCTCCTCCTGCCTCATCCTCCTCCTCTTCCTCATCGTCCACCTCCTCCTCCTCCTCCTCCTCATCGTCCTCCTCCTCATCGTCCTCATTTTTCTCCTCCTCCCCCTCCTCCTCCTCCTCCTCCTCCTCCTCCTCCTCAGGTGGTCCCAGCGACCCGCGGCCGTTTCCGTCGGCCCGCGGCGGGGGCCCCAGTCGCCGCGGGTCCGACTCGGGCGAGACGCGGTGCAGCGAGCTCCATGGCGGCGGCGGGCGGCGCGCGCAGGCCTCAACACGTGCCGACGTGCGCTTGGAGGCGGCGCGGCAGCGCCTGGCTGGGCATCGCGGCGGAGCGGCGGCGGCCGCCACGGGCCCGGCCTCGCGCCAGGGGCCAGTGACTCAAGCGCAGCGGCTGCGAGCACAGCTGGAACTTCCGCTCCCGCTCCTGGTGCTGCCAGTGCGGCACAGCGCTGCTCGGCGGAGCCACAGGAAGGCGGCAAGCGGCAAGCTGGATAAGCTCAAAGATCGCCAAGGAGGTGGCAGTGCTGCTGCGGGGCCCACATCGCCAGAACCGAAGCGAGCCCCATGGAGGCACGCCTCCCGAGAACCGCCAGGCCGTGTCAGCTCCCAGCGGTGGCGCAAGAAGGGCTGGTCCAGCGCAGAGTGGCCGCCGCTGGTGGCGCTCTCGTTACAGATGGAAGGTGCGCTCAGGCTGTGCAGAGGGCTCCTCCCGCCCGACCAGTGCGCGACCCTAAACAGGCGGTGGCCCAACCATCCCGAGGTGGCCCCGGCGAAGCCCTGGATGCCGGAGGCCGACGTGGCGGCGGCGTCTGCGACCTCGCGGCGGCCGGAGGCGGCTCTCCAGCGCAGGGCACAGGCTGCGGAGGAGGAAGCCTAGCAGTGGCACGAGGCTGCCAGGCTCGAGACCGCTGACGCGCCGCGCTTGGCGCTCGGTCTGCACACCACGAGGTCCCGCTCATCATGGGAGGGCGGCCGGAGCATCGACGCATCGACTTCAGCGACCCAGAGCAGGCAGGCTGGCCGGCACTCTTTGGAGCCTCGGAGGCCGCACCAGGCATGGAGGGCAAAAAAGCCACCCCCAGAGTGATCACCCGGACGCGCGAAGCCGTTTAGCAAACGCACCCACACAAGGAACCGAACAGGGCAGGGCTGTTTCAGAAAACGCCCAGTGGTGGCTGTCACTGCGCCACCTGGTCAGGAGGCGCTGGGAACCTGGCATCCAGCGCCGGCTCGAGGCCGCACCAACGGCGCAGAAACCAGCAGCTCTGGGAAGCGACCCAGCGCCTCCTCCCTAAATTCAAATCTGAAGGAGTCACCCTCTTGGAAGCCGGCCACATGGGAGGGCCATATGGGACGGCTCTGGGATGAGCTCGCCCACCAGACGGCCCCTTGTTCCACTCTCTGGGGCAAGCACAGGTCATCATGGAGCAGAAGACCAGTCGGCCACACGCAAGATGGACCCTGGGTAAGAGTGACCTGTGGTGCGCGGAACTTTTGGGGGGGCTGCGGGGGGCCAAGCACGGGAGGTCACTTCGGCGAAACGTCCCTCTTACGTCCAGTCGAGGCCAGGGCGGACGTCCAGGAGAGGAAGTCGAGGTGAGAGGCGCCGACGGGCCTCAGCAGGCCCGTACAGGGCAGTTTTTAATACATATGGTTTTTAAAGCAATGTAGGATCTTTAATACATGATTAATGCATGAGTAAATTTATGCATGAATGCATCCTTGTTTGTAGTACTAAACCCTGCATTTTCAATACGTTTCAATACATGATCCGCACGCGGAGCATGTATAAAAAACGGCACTGTACTTTTCCATGTGCTCGCCTCTCATGGGTTCACGCTGGTCAGAACCCTGGCTCTGGGTTCCCAGGTAGTTGAGGCTAGAGCTCGGCAAGAGCAAGAGCCGGGCGACCCGCTCGAGTAGAATTGGAAGCAAGACGCCGTTTCGGCAGGGTCGGGCCTCCTCATCCTCGTTCGCCTCCTCCTCCCCATTCCCTCGTCCCCTGTCCCTCCCCCTCTAACCCCTCAACCCTTTCCTTCTCCTCACCCAACCTTGCCCTCTTCTCCTCCCCCTCCAGAGAGGGTGAGAGAGAGGGAGAGAGAGAGAGAGGGAGAGAGGGATGTGGAACGAAAGAGAGAGAGAGAGAGAGAGAAAAAATAAAAAAATAAAAAAAGAAAGAAAGAGAGAACGACAGAGAGATAGAGAGAGAGAGAGAGAAAGAGAAAGAGGGAGAGACATTGCGATAAATATAGAGAGAGAGAAAGAGCGAGAGCGAAACAGGAACAGAAAGAGAGAGAGAAAGGGAGAGAGAGCGCGATTGAGAGAGAGAGAGAGAGCGCGATTGAGAGAGAGAGGGACAGAGAGAGAGAGAGAGACACCGACAAACAACACATCAACAAGAGAAGCGCAAAGAGGGAGTGGGCCGTGTGGCCGCCTGGTGGTTCCTGGCGGCGTCGGTGTCGCGCTGCAAGGAGGTGACCTGTGGGCGCGCTGGGCGGCCTCCTCTGCAGCCGACTCGGCTTCGGAGGCTGGAGGATCGGGTCTCTTCGCCGATGCATCGGCGATGCACTAGCACGAGGGAAACGAGCCCTGGAAGACGCACATCCCAGAAATATGGTGCCGATGTCGGGCTCCAAAGTCCGTGTCCGGATGTCTTTTGGCGTTTTCGGTCTCCAGGTTCCCGTCCCTGGCCTCGCACTCACACTCAAGCCATACGCCGTCCAGCCGTGGGCGGGAAAACAAGCTCACACTGCAAGGAGGAAGAGAAGGAGGGGGAACTAAGGCGAGACGGAAACAACAAGAAGAAAAACAAGCACGAGCGATGTTGCGGCGTGTGGGCAGTGCTTCAGCTGTCGCCGAGCGGTGGTTCAGCCGTCGTCTGCATGAGAAGGAGCACGACCGCGAGACCAGAGCCCACGCATCCGAGCCCCCAAACACGACGAATTACACCAACTCTTAAGAACATCGGAATCCGCACTCGTCCACTACGTGTTTGCCGTCGGCCAAAGTATCACGACGACAAGGCCAGCCTCCCAACCGCACGAGCCCAAAAGCACGAACACCAAGCATTTGACACCTCGACGATCCTGTGACACCCCTCAGCCGTCCGGGGCAACTTTTACTCTGAGCACCCGCCTTCCAGAAGGGATCACATAAAGGCCTCCCAATGGGATCGAAGTGGATGGGGTCGAAGGATCGCGCCGCATCGGCGATGCATCGGCGACGTCGGCGTGGAGAGAATTCGGACTCTATATCGAGCCGCGTCGCCGAAGCATCAGCGATGCGGCGCGATCCTTCGACCCCATCATCTACTCGGGACCCCATTTGGGAGGCCTGCATGAGACCCTCGTAGACTCCGGGCCAAGGCAGCGAGATTTCGACTTGCGGCAGAGCAGCGGATGCTCAAGGGTTCCTGGCGTCAGCTGCAGGAGGACGAGAGGCAGCATCAGCATGAGGAGGAGGAGGAAGATGATGAGAAAGGTGAGGGGAAAATCTGCCAGTTGCAAGTTCTGAAGACCTGGCCAATGTTTTCCTTGATGTCCATGTGCAGCTTCTCGCGGTCGCGGGCGAGCATGGGCGGGCATCGGCTCACCCTCCTCCTCCCTCTCACCACCTTCCCAATCCCCTCCCCACCTCATCCTCCATCTCATCAGCTCCTCTTCCGTCACCTCGGGGGGGAGTCCGCATCACCGCTCAACGATGTGCTATGTACCACACCTCGCAGGGTGGGCCTTTTCCCAACTCTGTGCTTCAGAGCGGATCCTCAGCGCGCCGCGCGCCGCGTCTCCGTCGCCATCATCGGCGCAGTCGTGGTCCTCGGGACCTGTTTCCCTTCATGCAGTGACCACTACCCGCCGTCCTCCTCCTCCTCCTCCTCCTCCTCCTCCTCCTCCTCCTCCTCCTCCTCCCGCTCCTCCCGCTCCCCCCACCCCGTCCCCACTTCTCCCCTCCCCCTCCCCCTCCCCTCCTCCCCCTCTCCCCCATTCGCCTCCTCATACTCCTCCTCCTCCTCCTCCTCCTTCTCCTCCTCCTCCTCCTCCTCCTCCTCCTCCTCCTCCTCCTCCTCCTCCTCCTCCTCCTCCTCCCCCTCCCCTCCCTCCTCTCCCTTTCGGCCCCAAGCTCCCACCCCCTAAGCACCTGGGTCACACGGGCTCCGGGCGCGCCTGGCGCCGCCAGCACGCCCGGCACTGCCGCGCGTGCCTGGGACCTGGGGGCGGACGGCGCCGGCCCCATCTCTCGCGAGGGGCAGCTGAGCCTCGGGTGCTGCTCCTCCACTATTGGGAAGGCGGCGAGCGTGAGAGAGCGCGGGACAGATTGTGGCTTGCCCCTTGGAGCTTCGACCTCCTCCAGTACCCCCTAATCCACCTCTCACTGCCCCGCCCCTCCACCCTGCTTCCCACCCGTACCCCCTCCCAATCGCCTCTCCCCCATTTCGTTGCACGGCCCCCTCTTCCGCCTCTGCAGTTTACACCCCTCGTTTACTGGCTCGCTCAGATGGTACTGAGTCCCCCGATGCTTACTTTCTGATGGCAGCAATAACAGCAGCTAGGGCAAGCAATCCCAGCTATATAGCCTCACACATGTTCCCCTCCTCCTCCTCCTCGTCTCCCTGCGGAGGCTGCCTAACTGGAGCTTGAGCAGATGGGGCGGGAGGATCGAACACCATCGCCAATCAGCTCAGCGGCGCGATCCTTCGACCCGGCCCAGCTTCGACGGCACGGCCACCCCCCCTCCACATCCTCCTCTCCTCCCGCCTCCTTCCCATCCTCCTCCACAGCTCCTTGAAGATCTGATTCATCTGCATCCTCTCGCGGCGCGTGGAGTCGATGCGGACCCGGATCCGCCGGCCTTTCGGCCTCTCCCAGCTGCGCCCCCTTCCCCCCCCCTCGCCCCTCTGCGCCCTGGGCCGGCTCCCTCGGGGGGGCCCTGGGCGCAGGCGGGGCCCCGGCAGCTGTGGGCCCCCGACCTTCCGCAAGGGCTCGGCCCAGACCGGGCCGCTCTCTCTCTCTCTCCCTCTCTCTCCTGAAGGGGCCGTAGGACACACAAGTCAACGCACACAGATGGAAACATTCCCCATACTGTCCCATACCTTCCGGGTTTTAGTCTTCCCCCCCACTTCCCATATTTCCCCGTCTGTTCTGGGGAATCGACGATTAATTGTGTCTGTGTGTTTTTTCCCTCATGATCTCTCTCTCTCTCTCTTGCCGAAGACACCCGTCGAATGCCCGCAGCGGGCCCGCTGGCGATGGGGCACTACGGCGAGGCCCGGCGCCACGGTGCCTCGGGGCAGGCTGGGGGTGCGGGCTCACTCGGGCGGGGGAGGCGCACAAGGGGGGGGGGGACCGGCCCTAGCTTTAGGTCGGGCGTGTCCTCCTACGGGAGGACGTTGGATGAAAAATTTAAAAAATACTCAAAAAATGCCCGTACTATTAAAAAATACTGAAAAGAGTCCCCAGACTATTCTTTCACTATTTTCGCAGATCCCCCCTGCAGAGGGACAGGCCCGACTGAACCCTAGAGGGACGGAACACGACGTACAACATACACTCCTGGAGCTCCGCGCGGATCTCCTGGATCGGTCTGCAGCTCCGCGCGGCTCTCCCGGATCGGCGCCAGCAATGGGGGCTCCCGCGCCGATCCAAGAGAAGAGAGCCGCGCGGAGCTCCGGAAGCCTGGGCTTCTGCACTCGGCTGCTCTCCGAGACTCAGGGGGGGGGGGGGAGACGTCGCCTCGGCAGCGGCGAGCCCGACGGCGCCACAGCGGCGAGCCCGACGGCGAATGCCCGCGCTCCCTGCGCAGAGCCGGAGGTCGCCGCTCGATCGGCGGCGGGTGTCGAGACCGCCGATCCCCGGAGCAGAGCCGCGCTCCCGGGCGGCGGGAGGGGCCGTCGGGCCCCCATCTGGGGGGGACAAAGCTTGACACGCCCAAAGGCGATGACAGTCTTACAGGGCAGGTTTTAATACATGGGATCTTAAAGAATATAGGATTTTGATAGTACGTGATTGATGTGTGAACAAAGTTATGCACGAACTCATCGTTTAATACATGATCCGAACGCGGAGCATGTATTACAAAAAACTGGCACTGTAGGGATGCGCCCTCAAATAATAAGGGAATCCCTAAGATTGGCATCGTGATGAGATAGATGCCCAGCATGGGGATGGGGATCTGCTCCAGGCTGGTAACTGCCAGGCCCCCGTGGACGATGGGCGCACGATGCTTTTCAACAGGCGATGGTAAGGCTTAGCGCCGGCCCGTGGGCTCTTGAGAAGCCCAACTGGCGCTTAAGCTCTCTCGCGACTCGGGCCGAAAACTACGGAGGTAGAAAAAAAAAACCAAACAGGCCCCCATCTGGGGGGACAAAGACATCACAGAAACGGAAAAAAGCTCGGAGGTCCGCCCGGGTCTCTCGGATCGGCGCTGGACTCCCAGCCCTGGCGCGCGGAGCGCGCCGTCGGGTCCGGCGCCCAAGGCGCCGCCCTGGGGCCCCAGCGCCGATCCGAGGAGCCCGTACGGACCTCGGAGCAGGGATCGACCTGGACAGTGTTGTTAGTTCTCGTTGTTCCGCATTTTCCTAATTTGTTTGTCCTCGTTTTGTTCTCAATCAGCCTTTTCCGTGTTTTCGTTCTTCCTCGTTCTGTCTTCGGTTCGTGGTTTCGTTTTTCCTCGTTGTGTCCTCGTTTTGTTTTGTCATCGGTTCGTGTTTTCGGTGTTCCTCGTTTCGTCTTCCATCAGCCTCTGCTGCAGAACGAGGTCGAGGCGAAAACGGTTCACGAGATCGCCAACACACCGTTTAGGTCGAGCCCTGCCTCAGAATTGTATGTTTCTGTCATTGTTTGTTCCCCTGCCGTCGGCGATGGATGGGCGATTGGGGGGTCGATGCGTCCTCCCCCAAGCCTAATCTTAGGTCGGGCATGTCCTCCTACAAGCCGATGTTAGGCGAAAAAAACATCAAACATGATGTTAAACATATGAGAAGCATCGTGCCCACTGTTTGTTGTATTATTTCTGGATATTCCACTTGTAGAGGGCCACGCCCGCCTTAAGCCTGATCCCCCCAGACGCTGCCCCTGATCGTTGGCCGCATGAATGGGCGAAAGAAAAAGAGAGAGAGAGAGAGAGCAGAACCCAAATCGAGTCGTCAACGAAAAACCGAAAACGCCCGAGAAACTTGAGACGACGCTGACGCAAGCCACCGAAACCGAGTCGGGGCGGTCGAGCGAGAAAACCAAAAGGCCTGGCCCGAGCGGGCAGCCTGCGCGGCGTAACGCTGCGCAGGGTGCATGGCTTCCCACGCGCCGCTACCGAACGGTAGGCGGCGGGGACTCACTCTGCACCTCCTGAGGCGGAGGAAGAGGAGGAGGAGGAAGTCGAGAAACGTCCAACGTGCTCCGGAAACGCTTCTCCGGAGCACGTTGGCGGCAGGCAGCGGGGCGGGGAGGAGAGACGAGCGACGCGCCCGTTTTGGGGTGGAACCCCGAAAGCACCTTGGCCAGAACAGCCAACTGTGCCTTCTTGAGGCGCTTCTCCCTCGAGAAGCCCATGCATACCGATCGAAGCTTGCACTTGGGGCTCACGCGCAAGCGGGGTGAGAAGGAAGCGCAGCATCGGCATACAAGCGCGTGCCCGACCTGCACCACCTGGCGGCCTCTCTCGGAGAAGCAGCTCATGTCGATGGGGGGGATCGGCACAACCACGCCCTCAGGCGGCTCACCCGACTCGGCCTCCTCCCCATCGCCGTGAAGGGCGGACGCGGCCAGGAGCGCAAGCCCCACCGTGGCGTCCGCTCCCTCGTGGAAGAAACGCCCCCTGCGCCTGGCAGCCCCGAGCCTACGCTCAGGCGTGGGCTCACACAGTCCGTGCGAACGATTCCGAAGAGAGCGAAGCGTGAGCTCAGTGCATGCCGATCGATTGCATTCCTTGCAACGGACCTCGCCAGTGTCCAGAAAACGTACAAACTGGTGCTGAGACGAATTGAGAAGGGCCGCGCTCGGGCCGCTGGGAGGCCGTTCACCCCGCTCCTGGCTCCAGAGTCCAAGCTCTGCATTCCTGGCCACCGCAAGCCCGAGGAAGCGTGCGTGAGACTGCACGGCTCCGATTTGGAGATCGAGCCCGTCAACGTACTTCTCTGGCAAGGCGTGGGAAAGGGCTCCGTGGCGGGCAAACTAATCGGCCTATGCGTTCCCTTGCACATCTAACTCCGAAATCCTTTTCTCCAGCGCGCCGTCAATCGCGAGGTGCGATGGGACCCAAGCGAAGTCGGGCATCCCTTTTTCCTCCGCAGCCTGAAACAGCGAGCACCACACGCCTGGGTAGGTGCCCCTGGACGAGGCGAGGCAGGGGTTCCACCCTCGACCTTCCTGGACAAAACTGCAAATCGCTGACAGTGAGCGCCGTGCCCGGAAAGAGTTGAACGGCGCGGAGGCCCGCCACTCGCTCTGCTCTGCCTACGGACTGCAGGACCCCCGGGAGGCCTCCAAACGCGGATCTAATGGGCGCACCGTGGATATCCACCTGCACGCAGCTCCAGCCGCAGCGAGTGCCCCCGGGAGTTCGGTTCCCGAACCCCGAACCGTCAGTGTAGACGACGCCTCCCCAACCCGCACGATCAGACGACGAATCCCCCCAATGCTCAATTGGCCGAGGGTCAGGGGCGGGAGCGGGCAGGCTGGGCTCGACAGGAAGACCCATCGTGATGTCAAATCTGCCCCAGCACGCACCGAATCCCGAAAAACCTCTGTCTCTTCAGAACTCGCGCGTGGCCAGAGCAGCCTCGGAAAAAGGGGGCCCCTCCTCCTCCCCGTGACAAGCCAGGAGGGGGGCACAATCAAAGAGCTCGTGCCCTAGAGTACCCTTCGGAGCACCGCAGGCTAGGCACGCGGGAGAGGCGACCAGCCCATGGCGATGTTGCCGTTCTGGGGGCCAACACGCTCCTGTGACCAGAGCGTTTGCAGCCCGCCGGCCGCCACGCGACGGGCCCCTCCTTTGCTCCAAAGGCAGGCCCTCAAGCACCGGTGCCACAAGCGGAGACCCACTGGATTGTGGTCAGAATGGTGCTCGAGATTGCGCCGATGCTGCCAGCGCTCAATACCTGCTATTAAATACTGTTTGAAATCTCTCGGAGGGGTGGTGAGCAACGAATGCGCAGTCCCCAGACCATCCCGGACAAGAGTGGAGGAGACCATGGACCACCCGACTCTGTTGAGAGTGAGAAAAGCACTGGAGAGCGGATCCTGGACCCCTCGCCACGCAGGTCTGGCCAGCAGGCGAAGCTCCAAAAATCGCCAAGCCCTTTCCAACTTACCGAGGGGGAAGGACTGGTCCCAAATACACACGTACATATTGCAAGACGGGCTCAAGCGTGCAATGATATATATATATACAAGATTTTAAGGCTCGCTGCGCTTCGCCTTCTAATCTTGGTCCTTGCACCTACGATGTTTCTGGGCGCGGGCGAGAACACAATTGTTCAATGAGGTGTGTGGGAATTGTGCGAGCGGAGGCGAGGCGAGGCGAGTGCGCGGTAGCGCCCGGGGCGGGGCTCAGGGCGCAGAGTTGGTGGACGCTGGAGTGGAGGTGAAGGTGGAAAGTCGGATGCCGGACGCTAGAGGTCGGAGTGCTGAGCTGATGGAGGCTGGAAGTCTATAGGTGGAAGTCCCACCAGCCCTTTAGGGCTACGGTGGTATAGCGAGTTTGATCTTCTCTCTTCCCCTTCCTTCCCCTGTTCGGGGGAGGGGTAACCTTCCCCTGGACCTGGAGGGGGGGGGGGGGATGGAGGCGTTAGAGCGTCCAAGATGGCTCAAGATGGCTCCAAGAGGCGCTCCAAGTCGCAAGATGGCCTCCAAGATGGCCCAAGATACCTCAA